AAGACACATTCCTAAATTGTACTTCAAAGTGTCTGTACCAGTTTATTCTCCCACCAACATTGTGTGAGAATATCTGTTTGCCTGCAGGCATAACAAAACTCAGTATCAAATAACTTTATTTTTTGCCAACCTAATGGGTGAAATAACAGATTCCCGGTGCATTTCTCTTAATGGAGGTAATTTTTTTGTTCAATTACTGGCCATGTGTTTTCATCTCATGTGAATTACATGCTTATTTCCCTGTTTTTCTATTAGATTGTTAGCCTCTTTGTTTCTCATATTTTTAAGTTGTTGGATAGTTTCATTTTAATACTATCTAATTTAACATTGTGATGTGAGAATGTAACTTTAAGTAGTAAGCACTTACTCCAATATCATTTGTTTATCTATGTAAAAATACTCTTATTGGATTGTCTCTATTACAAAAGTGATTGTGTGTTTGTACAAAAAAATTTGTAAAAGCTAGATACTCAGGAAGAAGAAGATAAAAATTGCTTCTAATATCATCACCCAGATACAATACTATTAATACTTTAGTGTGTATCCTTCTAGTCTTTCTTTTCTTCTAAGACCATTCATTGAATTACTTTCCCTTTTCCTATGGCTTTGTGATTTTATTCTTAGCATGTACCAATTTTTTTTAAATTTAGGACCTTTGAGCCATCCTTCCTGCTTTATTTATTTATCTATGTATGGTGCCTGTACGATGTAAACTGGCTTATGATTGGCTCTATGAGACATGTACTCTCTGCAAAGCCAGCTCTCTCTCATTGATTTTCTAGGGTCTAGATTGGGTAAACAGGACTTTATGCATCATTCTGAGTTGGGATTCTGTTAAATTTAAAATGCATAACACAAAAGGCTTCTGTGTGTCATTATTCCTGTAACAAATCACATCAGATATGCAAGTGTCCGGTAAAGTCTGAAGAAAGGAAGGTCCTCAAATTATTAGTGAGCAAGTTTGGGAAACAGAAGTGGATGGTCTCATTCCCATTTTTACTAATTTAATGTGTATAAAATATTACTCATATCTTTTCTTCATTCCTTTGTTCCTTCCTTCCTTTTGGGGGGCTTTCATTTCATTCATGAGTTTTAATGCCTAATTCATTTTTTTCATAAGGCCTTAAATTCCCCAACGCCACCATCTCCCACCTTAGGGACTTTCAGGATCCTAACGCTCATCGAGGAGCGGGCTACTGCATGGAGGGTGGGTGCAAACTCCTAAAGTTCCCACCTCTGGTTCTGGCAAGTGAGGAAACTGGGCATTTCAATCCTGCAAGCGCTTAACTCTAAACTCCACACTCTAAACTCACGGTCTCCACTCAGTTCCTTCAGCGTTTCTTTCTCCCAGAGTCAGTGGGGGTGTTGGTATGGACTTGCCCCGCTCATGGGAGCTGATCGGTAAATTTTCAGGAATTTTGCAGGCTGGTTGTTAAGCACGGTCATTATTAAAAATTAAATTATATAAACTTACAATTAAATAAATTATATCAAAACCAAAAATAATAAATATCAAAACTTCCTAATTATTTTACTACATTTTACGGTTATCCATGCCCTTGAGATTATTTGTGTCTATTGCATCAGGGTGGAAGTGCCATGTAGCGCTGGGCTTTGTGTACCTTTCCTCAACTCTGTGCTCTCTTGGTAGCATGAAATTGGTTATGGTGGCAGCATTTACACCGCTGGCATTGGAAAACACTACGAATCAGTTTGATTTTTGATTTTCTTGAGTGTGATGGAGAAAATGTTAACAGTGAAGATTAAACTTAAAGGTATGCCACATCTATAGTCCTTACATTATGAATAGCTGCCCAAATTGAGGAAATATTTCTCCAGTATTTGAAAACTATTATTTAAGTTAGCAAAGAAGTTGCTTACATCATTGACTAGCAAGTGACATTCTCACATGTATCTTTGTTGTTTAACTTTCCTCTTACTCCTAATGCAAATGAGAATATCAACCAGCATTCACACCAAAGCTATATTTATTTGCTCCTTAGCTGTAACCCTGGGTTGGCTTTGAATACGAGAGTTTGGCAAAAATCAACTAATGCGTTCTTTGAGAATTAATTACAATAAAGACTAACATATGTTTTATTATCATTTGTAAATTGTATGCTATACATCCTTTACATAAGTAAAATTTATAATAAACCATGTACATATATATCTGCATACTTTATTTTTGGAGAGCTAGGGGTTAATCTTTTACCAGCACACCACTGGCCAGAGGTGGCAAACTGCTAGCCCAGGCCAGATTAGTACCACTGGCATAGTTTGTTTTAACCCACACGATGTTATTTAAAACAAACAAAGAAAAAAGCTTAATGGCAGCCCAACTTTTATAAATTACAAGACTTCACATAAAAACCTGGAATGCCTAATTCTCTTGAAGGGTCAGAGCTGGCCCCATTGTATTCTTCTGTGGCAACACTCAGCTGGAGTTGAGCCACCGTGGACCTTCAGGTGGAGTGTGTGCCCTCACTTTGCCACCATCTCCACCCCTTCTGTGGTCCCCCCACCCCTGCGCCTGAGTGTGAAATGCCATCTATCCCCATATCTGTGCTGTGGATGTTCTCTTCTCTTTATTTATCCTGCAATAGCACAACCTGAACCACATTTTCAGTCCAATCTGGAAACCTCAGGCTGGATTTATAATTAAATTGCTTTCCTTTTTCTATTGGTGCAAGTCCCACTGACCTACAGTTATTTTTCAAAAAAATCATTTAAGGTCGAGCATGGTGGTTCCTGCCTATAATCTCAGCACTTTGGGAGGCTGAGGCGGGAGGATCGTTTGAGGCTAGCAGTTTAAGAGCAGTCTGGGCAACATAGTGAGACCCCGTCTTTACAAAAAACATATGTGAAAAGGCTTTGAAACTATTAAAAGCTACCAAATGGATGACATTTATAGGATGCATATAATTTCTAACATCACTTAATTGTATACTTTATTAATAAAACTGAATTTTATTTTTAATGGTAAAATTCAATGTATGACATTTTCAGCAACTAATGACAATAAATAATTACTGATCTTTTCACTTATATCTTTCTTGTCTTCCTTTCTCCTCCTTTTTTCGCCTTCTTTATCTTTTTCTGTCACTTTAATGTTACCTCTAAAGTACAACGCAGTAATGAGGTCATTACATTTTTCTATTTAAATTCATACTTTGGTCTTCCCTTTGGCCTAATTTAAACACTGACATTATGGACTCATTCTAATTAGCCTGAATGGCCAAATCCCCCACCAATTAAGCAAACGTAGAAAATTTCAGGTTATTTCAGTTACCTTACGTTAAGGGTGAGAGAAAAAAATGTGATGAATGTAATCTGAAGTCATTAACTCCACGACATCCTGTTATTTCATAATCAAACTATTTCTTATGGTTACAGTATCACGAATGCAATGATGTTTCAACTTCATCTCACTCTAACTTTAGACATTTGTACCACAATTGCCACGAATTCTTCTTTATACTCCACTTTAAAGGTGAGGGAAAATTTTCTTTGTATAGTGATGATTATACAAAGAAAATAAAATCATTTGATTTTTTTAAAAATATGTTGATTTGTTTCATTTTATCAATACACATAAAACCATTCTGTGTTAACCATGTTGTGTAAAGTGCCTTAACTTTACAGTCTTAAACTTCCAAATGGACTGAGCCCTAAAAGTTCTTTTAATTATCTATTTGTAATTTGAGCATTTTTACCCATGGGAATAATGTTATAAGTGGTTATTAGATTCCCAGCCTAGCCCCTAATGTCGTTAAACACAGTTCTAATGGTATTCATCTAAGTTCTGATTTCTGGAGCAAGAGGAGAAGGAAGAAGAGAGGGAAGAGGAAAATGAGAGGAGAAACAGGGGAAATGGTAGAGCGGGGACAAAGGTAGAAGTCTCAAAGAAAGAGAAGAAAAGGAAAGCGAAGGGCTAGAGCAGAAGAACTTTCCCTGGGGTTAGGCCTGGCTCTAAGCAAAGTTTGAGCTACATGTAATTGTTTTTTGTGTCCTCCAATTTTCATTTTTTTTTTTTCATTTTTCTTTCTTCCTGTTTTTTTTTTTTAAGAGATGGGGTCTCTCTCTGTCATCCAGGCTGGACTGCAGAGGAATGATCAAAGCTCACTGCAGCCTCCAACTCAGAGGCTCAAGCAATCCTCCTGCCTCAGCCTCCCGAGTAGCTGGGACTACACGTGCATACCACCATCCCCAGCTAATTTTTAATTTTTTTTGTAAAAACAGGGTCTCACTATGTTGCTTAGGGTGGGAGTCTTAAACTCCTGGCCTCAAGCGACCCTGTCATCTTGGCCTCCCAAATGGCACTTTTTATTTCTGCATCCCCTTCAGAACCCTGGTGTCCTCATTTAGTCCTAAGGTCCTACCCTACCCATACCTGTTTCCCCTCCCCTACAACACACACAGTCTCAAAACTCCCATTCCTCAATGCATCTGTTCTTAGCAAGGTATTTGGAAAATATCAGTTCGAGAGAATCTAATCATTTTGTAAAATTCACAGTCTCAAAACCTCTGAAGTCTATTCTTTTCTACTTAGGGGAATTCCAAGCAATGTCACAAAATGAAGCAGAAAAATTTAAGGCAGTATTTTGAAAGAAGATACCTTTCTTGGGGGGTTATGTTGAGCTCCACTAAGCAGTCCCTGGGGTGCACTGCTTTCTCCACTTCTGCTGTGACATTTCTCTGCAGATTTCCAGCTGCAGAGACTTAGCCTCTAGCTGGCTCCCAAGACATATATCTCTGGACTGAATTGAGTTGGGTTTTTTGGTTTCTTTTTATTTTGTTTTTCAAAAGAGCTCACACGGTAGAGCACAGAGCAGAGCGGAGAGAGGTGGTTATTTGTATGTGTGGCTCTGATGCGAATGGGGGCCAGGGAGAAAGGTGTGGCTGTGTGGGGATACCTATTTCGTGGCCTATTTCCAGATTCCTCCTTTGAATTATCAGTGGTTTTTCAAAGTTCCTCGGAGCTGGACACAGTTACAATGTTAGTAAATAAATGTAACAACATAGCTTTTGTTGCTTGGCATTGGGAAGGTTTTAAAGTAAGAAAAGTCAGGAAAGTTGTTGGCAATGCTGGCCACGTTTTCAACGCTATATGATCTTAAGGATGAGTCCCTGTTGAAAAGAGCCGTATCTAGGAATGAGATGTACATACACGTTTGCCAGCCTTTGTGCAACAACACGGGCTTCTCTTTGGCGTCGCCGTCTGCACTGTTGTGGACGAGTAAGCTCTGCTCTGGGAAGGGATGCTTGGCCTCGGTGTTGATGCGAAGCCTCTTCAGACCGCAAATAGCCAGGTATTCCGTGGGGAGAGTGCTGGTACTGCACAGGGAAAGCTTCAGGTCCTGCACCAGCGTGAAGTTCAACAGGCGGCCCAGCGCAGATGTGTCTGTGAACCAGATGGTCAGATGGCCGTTGTAGCTGGTTTGCTCGACGGCGAAGGGCAGGACGGTTTTGCAGCTGCACATCAGGTTGGCCAGACTGTAGTCGCAGTCCCGGATGTCAGCGGAGCAGCTGCAGTTCCGAATGGTGTTTTCCCTTGTGAAGATGAGCGTGCTGTTCTTCTGACCTCTCGTGAAGCGGCTGAGTGCAAAGGTGCCCAGGGCGCACAGCAGAAGGAGGCAGTGCCCGGGAGGTGGTGCCATTCTTGCCCAGTGAGGGCCAGCGTGTTTGTGTTTCCCCTTCCAGAGCCAATTCGCTGAAACTCACCTGGAAGAAAACATGCAACTTCGTTATCACAGCCTCTCATTAGAAAAACACAGTTAATGGAAAAGGAGCCCCCTAAGTAACCAACGGTAAACTTCCCTCTCTTGCAGTTCTAATAAAGGCAGGCAAGGCTCGAAACTCAAGCACTGGGAAAGCTCTTTTCTAAGAGCCTCACGAGGGATGGCAGCCAAACCTTCAAACGCTGCTCATCTGAGGCATAAAACTCCCAGCGACGTGGGCTGACAGTGAGACCAGCATGCCCACGAGAGAGCCAGAGCAGACGCCAGAGAGACCTACCGCATACAGGCAGGGATTTGGAGTTATTTGAGCGAGCTCATCCTCCAAACATCCGGTTACTAGTCCTTAGTACCTGCAAACCCCCTAAACCGCCCCCCTAAACCCCCTCCTCCCCCTCAGTGTCTGACTTCCTGGAATTCAGGAGACAAACAGCTCCTTGTTGGATTCAGCTACCCAAGCACTACCTGTTAAACAACATAGCATGAATACCAACGAAGCATTTAGTTAATGGTAAACTTTAATTTCTAAGTAGATAAATGTGTCCCCAACCCCCAATTATATTAATCTAGTTATGGGTCCTTTTTCTGGCCTCCTACGAATGTACTGTGTAACTGTGTTAATAGACAATGAAAAGACTAGTCATCCACCAATTAAACACATTATCTTGGTTCATCTACTTCTATGCCAGAACCAATTTTATGAATTGATTTTATCAAGCAATTTATCATAAGGCTCCAAAGCAAAACCATATGCAAGCACTGCTTAAGGATCCGAATCAAGTAGAGATGCACGCATAATTTAAAGGGCAACACCAATGTCCAGATTAGGGGAAATGCCCTACAGTGCCTGGCGTATAATAGATGCATGGTCCTCCTTTAGGGTATGATTGGAATAAGATTATCATTGTGGAAGAGGATAAAAGATTCCAGTTTTGCAAAAATAATTGAATTTCCCCTGAATTACCCAATAATTAAAAGAGACATCAAACAATACAATTCAGTTTAACTCTGTTTACTGAGCTCTGTGGGGATGGCCAGATACTTGGAATGAGACCTCTGGCTAGGAGGGCCCAGGGCCATGCCAGGAAGGGCAGGGGAGCCCCAGAGGAGAGGGTCAGTCTGAGAAGTTCAACACATGTCCAAGGACTATGGTGACAGCAGGAAAGAGGCTAGGCAGACATGCAACACTTAGGGTGGAAGATGAGCCACAAGATGGCAAAACAAGACAATCAAAAATCCAAGGGAGCCAAAGCTAAAAATGCCAGGGATCAGGTAGACAGGCAGGAAGCACAAGCCTGTCTGGAGCGCAGGGAGGATAAAAATAAGCTCTCCTGTAATTCTAGCACTCTGGGAGGTGGAGGGGGTTGGATTGCTTGAGCTCAGGATTTCGAGACCAGCCTGAGCAAGAATGAGACCCTGTATCTACTAAAAATAGAAAAAAATTAGCCAGGCATGGCTAACGTGCACCTGTAGTCCTAGCTACTTGGGAGGCTGAGGCAGGAGGATCGCTTGATCTCAGGAGTTTGAGGTTGTAGTGAGCTATGATGACACCACTGCACTCTAGCCTGGATGACTGAGTGAGACCTCTTCTCAAAAGAAAAAAAAAAGAAACTTAAAAAATTTAAAAAGCCCTGGATCCTGTCCTCCAGGGGTTGATACTCAAAGGAAGAAGACAAATAAGGCTGAATTAAGAAGGGCTCAACTGCACATAGAACATAGAGAGACAGATTCAATTCTATTTGAGGGACTGGATAAGGCAGTTTCTGGTGTTCTGTATTTATTTTGAAATTGGCACAGGATTTTCTTAAAGGAGTTATCAATAGATATATTTTGTAATAAAGGAAAGAGCTTTGAGAAACTTGGAGAGCCAGAATTTTCCCTGAACAAGAGGCTTAACTGTTTTAAACAGTGTTAGAATGTGGTGGTGACTATCCACTTAACAGAGAACAATGAATAATTTATTAATTACAAGATAATTTTAGACAATCAGCTGTCCCAGATTCCACCAGAGGTTTCTGGGACTTCATGTCCCAGTAACCCTGCCAACTCAGAACTAGGAATATTGTCAATACCATTGGTCCACTCTGACCCCAGGCTTGAAGGGAAAGGGAGGGAAGAGCATTTATGCATCAGCCCAGACCCCGGTGAGAAAAGTGTCTGCCTCATTCTTTCAGGTGCTGATACTGTTTGGAATCGGCACCTGAAAGAGGCATGCACAGGAGAGGAAAAGGGGTAGGAAGAGAACAGGATATTGGTTTGCTGGAACGTGTGGGACTGGAAGTCCCCAAAAGGATTTGTGATCAACTTGCCGATAGTTAAGGCCCTGGCTTGCACCTCAGGATGGGCCCTGCCTCCCGGACCTCAGGGCACCCAAAGGCCAGAACAAGGAGGCCTGATGCAGAAAGGCTCGCTGGGAGTGCACGGACGGGGCAGATATCCCCGAGGACCACAGTGGGATTCAGGGGTGTACCACAAAGACGCCAGTTGGGTATTTTTCTCCTTCAGTTTACCACGAATTTCTTTCTTTTGGGTTTGTTGAGCATAGATTGTGAACACCCTAGTTTCACTATGTATTTATGCATTTGGGGGCAGGTTCCAGCATGGCACAAGTGGAACGGGGGCAAATATATTGCATTGCCCTTGGTTTTTGCGGTGGCTCTGCCTATGGTGGGGTGAAGTGGGGCTTGCATTGTAGCATAGGGGGCAAGTCTCAAAGAGGAAGCACACAAAAAGTTGGGGTACTGATGAGTCAGGCCAGGGTGGGTCAGAGGGTTCCAGACAAACGGGACCCACTGGAGTCCCCTTCCCACTGCCAACCTCACCGCTCCCGTTGTCCTCAATCTTCTCTGTCCCACTTCTGGATTTTTCAAATTCTTGCTACACTATGTTAATTATATAGAAATTTTCCTTTTCCTTTTCCTTTTCCTTTTCCTACTCAAAAAATATTCCCCTACTCAGACATTACCTGCTCCATGAACCTTATCATGACATCTTCCACCACTGGGCATGGTTAGGTGTAGACGTAACACCCCATACAAATTGTCATTATAGTGATTATCACACCGTACTCTGACTGTTAGTTCAGGTGTCTCCTCTACTGGGAAGCTGCCCTTGAAGCAGCTGTTTTTTGGCTTTATGTCATCAGTTTTCAGCACAGTGCCTAGCACATAGCAAGGACTGAACAAATTTTATTGAATCAATGAAAAAAACATAGCGTACCCAAATGTCAGTATATGAAAATTCTTCTGACTGCTAGTGATAGAAATCCAATTCAGGCTGGCTTGAGTGAAAAAAAAAAAAAATTGGCTCACTTATTTGAAAAGTCACAGAAGGATTTCAGGCATGGCTTGATCCAGCTACTCAAAAAGAGATTGTCAGAAATGTCTCTCGATTTTTTGGTTCTCCTCTGTGGGCTTTATTCTCAGACAAGTTCACACCTTCTGGGGAAAAGATGATCATTGGTAGTTCCAGGTTTTCCTTCTATCAGCTGAGTAACCTCCAGAGAAAAATGTCTCTTTTCAAATAGTACCAGGCAAAAATGCACTGGTCTTCCTGAGCAATGTGCTCAGCCCTGGAGCCAATGAACAGGAGCAGCCACACTGGAAACAATGGGCTGAGAGGGCAAAAGCCTGGTTCTAGAAAGAGAAATCTTATCAGAAAAAAGGCAGAGTAGGCAGTCAGAGCAGTGGGTGTCCAAGAGACCCATAGGGTGAGTATGGCCATCTTACTTCTCCCAATCTCAGCAAATGCTGGGCGCCACTTTGCTAAAATACACTCCAAGAGTGGAAGGATAGTCTCATTTTGTGGGATGTACACAGCTCCACATTGTCTCCTTTACTGAAGGACTCCTCACTTTTATTGCCTTGGAATCTTCAAGGCTTTTTACAGGGACACACTTTGGGGACTGCATTTGTGAGAGACATTCTCGCTCAGCTCCCCAAGGCCTGGCTTCACAGGGTGTTTCTTGAAGTGACCAGAAAGACACTGACTTTCTTCTGTCTTTAACCCCGCGGCCACAGCTCAGGTTTCTATTTGAGGTTGTCTGCTTCTTGCTGGAGCGTCTCGTCAGTTTCTGGCTCTCTTATTTTCCCCATTTCTTCATTTGAGCCTTTTCCCTAATTGCCCCTCCACTTTTAAAATAAAAAATCATTTCGATTTCAAGTTAAACTCACTTCTGAATTAAATTTTTAATCGCTTTTGCTTTTTAATTGCTGTAAGGTTTTGGAGACTGTCACTAGATTTTTCCACAAGTATATACTTTTTGTCTTTTGTGTTAAGAGTTCAAAACATTATTTACGACATTTCAAATTTGTTTTGGGCAAATGGTCCAAATGCTACCCTCCCACTGACACAGTATCTCCTTACTAGTAATATCTTCTTATAAACAGAACTAGTCCAGTTTGAAGTATTCCTTTTGGAGCCAAGTGTAAACATTATCTAACTGTTGGGTGTAATCCTAGATTGAGAAGGAATCCGTGTGGAATTTGTTTTGAACTAACTGATGCCTGTATCTGTTCAATTCAGAACTCTTTGTCTTCCTGAAGCTGGCTGCTAGTATTAATCGCTCTTGCGATTTCTTTAGCTGCAATACAAAAACAATATTGAAATTGATTCTGAATAGTAGCTCTCTTTTTTTAAACATGTCTGGTGATTTAAAGCCTCAAAGATTTAATGACGATACACAGTCTTTAGCATCTTGACTGAAAAACTTGGGTGCATTGACACTGTCTGAGTTTTCATCGTGTTGCATAAAGCCACTTACTGTGTCTTATGACCCAGGTATGTCAGAGACTTCCAGCGCCCACCAATACCCATGTCTTCCTCTCCCCGTTGGCACGCTGCAGGACTTCATTTCCAAGCTTCTTGCAGTGAAGTGGTGCCATGTGACTGAGTTCTGGCCAATGGAATGTGGTGAAAGATTACATGGAGGACCTAATGGCCCTACA